GAAGAAGTGCAGCCAGAGTGCTCCTTGGAGGCCAAGAAGGCCAAACTTTGTCTCTCATACTCTGGACATATTGTCAGGAGGGACCAGTCGCTGGAGAAGAATATCATGTTTGGTAAGGTGGAGGGTCAGAGAAAAAGAAGTAGACCCGCAGCAAGATGGATTGGCCAAGTGGCAGCATCAGTGGGATCAAACACAGCAATGATCATGAGGTTGGCCCAGGACTGGGCTGTGTTTCATTTGGTTGTGCGTAGGGTCACTATGAGTCGGTACCTACTCGGTGGCACCTAACTACAACAACTTAGAGCTTTCCCACCATCTCTTCCCACAGATGCAGTCAATTTGATTTCTGAGTATTCCATCTGGTGAGTTCCAGGTGTATAGTCATCTTCTAAATTGTTTAAAACAGGCATTTGCAATGACGAGGCCATTGGTCTTGAAAAATTCTATCATGCAATCTCCAGGCTCGTTTCATCACCAAGTCCGTATTTTCCAACTACTAATCCTTCCTCTCTGTTTCCAACCTTTGCATTCCAATCACCAATGATTTTCAATACATCTTGATTGCATGTTGAATCAATTTCAGAATGAAGAAGTTAGTAGAATTCTTCAATTTCATCACTGGCTTTAGTGGTCGGTGTGTAAATTTGAATAACAGTGATATTAACTGGTTTCCCTTTTGCAGGTGTATGGATAGTATCCTATCACAGTGTTGCACTACAAGACAGATCTTGAAATGTTCTTTTGATGACGAATGTGGTGCCCTTTCTCTTCAATTTGTCATTCCCTGCATAGTAAACCACGTGACTGTCAGATTTTAAATCACCAATACCAGTCCGCTTCAGGTCACTAATGCCTAGGACATCGATGTTTATGTGTTCCATTTCAGTTTTGACAGTTTCCAATTTTCCTACATTCACACTTTGTACATCCCATGTTCCATTTATTAGTGGATGTTTACAGCTGTTTCTTGTCACTGTTAGTTGTGTCCCATCATTAACTGAAGGTCCTGAAGGCTTTACTCCATTCGCATTATCTCAATCAACTCTCCTTTGCGGAGGCAGCTCTTCCCACACTTACTTTAAGTTCCTTTCAAGCTGACAGGCTCATCTTCCAACACTATACCTGACAATATTCTGGTGCTCTTCATCATGTTTAAATATACAATATTCTGGCGCTGAAAGTGTTCAGCCATTCATAAGGTTTTCTGTGAACAAATATTCAGAAGCAGTCGGACTCTCCTTCCTAGTCTGTGTTCCTCTGCAAGCTCAGCTGAAACCTATTCACTGTGGGTGACCCTGCTGGTATTTAAAATACCGGTGGCATAGCTTCTAGCATCACAGCCACACACAAGCCACCACAGAATGACAAACTGACAGATGTGTGCTAGAGGAGTCTCACTAGAATGATCTAAAATCAAAAGTCTCCCTGCTGACAGTTCCTTATGATTTCGGAGACAGCATGACCCCTTGCATTCTAAGAAAGAGTTTACTTTGGAAAGGTCTTTGAGAATTGCAGCTCACCACTCCTGACTAATTAGAAACATAACAGAACCCAGAAACTGCAACTGAGAAGTAGTCTGCAGAACTCTGGAAAAACTACTTTTTCTATATTAAAAAAATTAAATTTTTTGTTCCTTAAATGTGCTTTAAAAAGTCATATTCAAAGTTTGCTTACTAAAGCAGGTTAGCAATACACATGGGGTTGTCATGTGTTGGAATCCATTTGACAGCACGTCGGTTTTAAAGTATGTTGAGCCAGAAGCGATCTGTAAGAGTTGCAGGTGAGCTCTGATCGTAGTGGCAATTTTAGAGGAAATGCACGCGCTGCAATGAACTGACCCCAGAAGAGGGGCTGGCTGCAAGCTGATGAAGGTCAGGTTGTAAGTGCACACAGGGGATGAGACCTGATCCATGACAGTGACCAGGAAGGCAGCATTGTGCCTCTCACAGACAGATGGCACAGGGTCATGTGACCCTCTGCACATCTGAGCACAGGGGCTTGGACCCTAGAGTCCCACATCCCTAGCAAGCCTGTGGGTCAGGGACTCTAGTGTGGACACCACTTCACGGCTACACTCATCTCTGGGGCCACCCATTTGTCATTCCAGGTGCATGCAAACCACAAAGTGGGTCCAGGCAGTGGCCCAAGCATATCACTCCCTAAGAAAGCAGCGTAACCCTCAAGTCTAATGTGGTCGACTGATCACCTGACCAGCCGTGGAATCTTTTCTGTGCTGGTTCTGTCTGCCACTGACTCTCAGAACAGTGATGGCACAGGATCGGCCCTGGTGTGAGGTGTGGGGGCTGTGGGCATGGACCCCTCTTCCTGGCGAGCAGCTCACTCCACAAACAGGTCTGCAAAGCCAGACTCATTCTGCTTCATTCAGAAGCACTCAGCGGCAACTGTGCTTAGGTGAGGGAGACACACACAGTTCCCCAACTCCCATGGCCTAAGGGAGATGAAAGGAGATGCTGCAGACACCATGGGGTCAGAGGAGATGCCACAGCAGGGGAGACATGTCACTGAAGAGAGACGCATCCCAAGTCCTGAGTCTGATGTCAGGGAAGGTTGGGAAGGACTGGATCTTTTGCTGTTTAAACAGAGAGAAATGGCGGGCTGATAAGGCAGTATTGTTGTTGTTATGTGCCATGGAGTCGGTTCCAACTCATAGCGACCCTGTACCGGGTTTCAGAGGCTGTAAATCTTTACGGGAGCAGAAAGCCTCATCTTTCTTCCGAGGAACAGCTGGTAGTTTCGAACTGCTGACCCTGAGGTTCACAGCCCGATTCGTAACCACTACGCTACCAGAGCTCCTTTAGAGCCCCACATATCTGTACTGGGCCTCCTAACCCTGAGTACTTTGATTTATCCTGTAGTACTTCACAACAACAACAACACAAGGATAGTTAAGGAGCTCTGGTACCGTAGTGGATACAAGTTGGGCTGCCAACCTCAAGGTCAGCAGTTTGACACCAGCTGTTCCGTGGGAGAAAGATGAGGCTTTCTGCTTCTGTAAAGATTTACAGCCTCGGAAACCATGTACAGGGTCGCTGTGAGTCAGAACCAACTTGATGGCACTTAACAACAATAAGGAGAGTCGCACTTACTACATGACTAGGCTTACAAACTCAAGACTAGATGGTTACCTCATGTGTGTCCATGGACAACCCCCAGCTCCTCATCATCCTGATCTAGCAAATTACACTTCATGAGTTTTTAAATGGCAGGACAACCTAACGCACTGTACAGGAGGCCGCAGCAATAGATAAGCCAGACTGTCACACGAAAGCCACCAGCACATTTAAAGATGTCGACATAAAACAGTAACATCATTACGTTAGCCATGTCAACCTGGTGTGGCGCTGTGGGCTAATGCGCCGGACTGCAAAGTCATTAGAACCACAGGGTCGGTGGTTCTAGCTCACCAGCTGCTCCTTGGAAACCCTATACAAGGTCGATATGGGTTGGAACTGACTCTGTTTAAACAACAAAAAAAGAAAACTGAGCAATTAGTATGTTTTTCTGTAAGTGAGTGATGCAAATAAAATCTCTAGGTTCCATTTAAAAGACAAAAGGAAAGCCATTTTGCAGCATGATTTGGTATTTCTCATGGCCAACCCCCTAGCACAGGACAAGACGCAGCAACAGAAGCAACAGCATTTTCCAGGCCAACAGTCATACACACCGCTTTCTTCTTGATTTTAGCAGCCTTCTGCATCCTCTGCGCAGCAGGTAAAAGAAAGGAAAGACAGATGGACACACCGGAAAGGAGCAGAGGCAGTGTTACTTGGTCCCATGGTTAGCACCCCAATACTCAGGATACAAGACCTGAACGGAAGACCTCTGTGGGCACAGGCAGACAAGCCACACTTTCATCATGGACGCAGGCTGTTCAGGAACCCCACCTTCCACCCTCATACTCTTGTTTCTCAAGAGCCATCTTGCTCTACGAAGGGTGTGACAGAGGATGGGGGTGGGGGATCATAATCTGCTAGCAGAGAGCATGCACACTCTGGGGAGGAGAAATGGACTTCTGAGGGGAGGACGCGAAGTCCAGGTCACTCTGCTCTGGGCACTGACAGCTGGCGGGACTCTCCTCCATGCCACTGTGCAGGCTGGACTACATACTCTCTCCTGCCCGCCACAGAGGGTGGATGTCTGGCGTCCTTTGGCCTCCTTTGCCTGAGGCTGGTATGTGGGATGGAAGGAGAACCATGCCTCCTCACCCCCACTTACAGGGAGAGTCTACAAACACCACGCTGTCCATGGGACTGAGGTTGTTGTTGCGTCACTACGCCCCCCATCCTGGCCTCGGCCAGCTCTGTACAGCCCAACACACGATCATGCAACATATGCTTAGAACATTCACTGAGCACCCTGAGCGCATGCATTTAAATAACACAGACAGGGTGTCTTCTCCTCTGCCAGCCCTTGCAGTGATGTTAACTGTCAAACTGGGACTTGAGGCTCTACATAAACATGTGCTATCATTTGAGTGCTATAAAAATCATGTTTCCTGAGGGTCAGGAGCGCTGGGGAAGGAAGGCCCAGCCTGAACACTCTCTCTTCCCTGAGAGTGCCCTGTTCTCACCCAGATCTGTGGGGTCAGGGAAAGTCTGCATAGCTGACACACAGGACCACGCCCCTGACACCGCTTGCCCTGAGTGTTGCCCAATAAATCAGAATCCACATGGATAGGCTGAGGTGAGCGGACGCTGCTTTTCGGACTGTACCTTGACACGGCTGACGGCTTCCTGTGCCTGCATCATCCGGATGTTCTTGGATGGGTTCCGCTCTGACAGCAGCTGGGTGGACCCCAGGTAGTTGGCAGCAAAGATGATGCCATCAATGAGGTCCTCAGGTTCACAGGGCCCTGGAACTGACAGGGCATGGAGTCAGTACGTCCCCCAACACAGGGCTTACGTAGTGATGTCCACAGCGCTGAACACAGCAGTACAGATGGGACTGAGAGGCAGGTAAGAGCACCACCTTCTGAGTTCACTGAGCGAGGGCAGGTCACTGCACAAAGTTGGCCCCAACCCAGAAAACTCGGCCTGATGGGAGCCCAGGCAGCAGTCACTGTACTACTCAGCATCCCAGGGGAGAGCCACATGCCATAACACCAGAAGGTTCCATTGCCCACCACACATGACAGCACATCCCCGGCCTGCCACAAAACCCTGTGGAACTCGTGGTTCAAGACTGTCCTTTGGCCTCAGCCCCTTCCCAGGCTTGCTCCGCCTCTCTCCTGTGGGCTCCAGCCTTTCTGTAACCTCTCAGGATGTCCCCCAACACCCCAGGTTCCGGTTGTAAAATGGGGTTCGGCTTCCAGCCTGTTGCCTCCAGGCCAGCACCATGCAACCTCACTTTCTGCGATTAGGGAAGATTTGCTGTCCACTGCAGCTGCCAGTGGCCATGTGTGGGTTCTGAGCACTTGTAATGTGGCCAGTGTGACTGAACCACTGAGTTTCCTGTTCTAGCTTGTTGTTGCTTTAAGTGCCGTCGAGTGGATTCAGACTCACAGAGACCCTGTACAGGGTTTCCAAGGAGTGGCTGCTGAGTTTGAACCACTGAACGTGTGGTTTAAACCGACCTTGCTGTCCAGTGCTTTATCCCACAGACCACACCAGGACCCCTATTTCATGGTTATTAATTTGGTGTGACACTGTGGGTCAATGCACTAGATTGCAAGATTGTTTTGAACTGCAAGGTTGGTGGTTCAAGCTCACCCAGGCACTCCTTGGGAAGCCTACACAGGATCACAATGACTTAGAACTGACTCTATGGCACTTAACAACAACAATTTAAACATAAGGACTCACATGTGATTAATGCCTGCTGCACTAGACAGTACATTTCTAATGAGGCAGATATCAGCAAACTTTTTCTGTAAATGGCCAGATGGTAGCTCTTTGAGGTGCTATGGCCCGGGGGTCTCTATGGTAGCTCTTCATCTCTGCCATGCAGCATAAAACAGGTCACAGATAATGTGTCAAGTGTGTGTGAGCATGACTGTGCTCCAATCACCAGACTTTAGGGATGTACTTTCTCTGCTGATCACAGCCAAGCCTCTGGAAAGCACTGCTGTGTGTGAACTCACCCTTCATCAGCACACCCCAGACAGGCTTGATCCCATGACTCCATCCACACCATTTAATGATGCTACCCAGGAATTCAGGATTGGAGGAAGACTCATTAACAACTTACGATATGCAGATGATACAACCTTGCTTGCTGAAAGTGAAGAGGACTTAAAATACTTACTGATGAGGATCAAAGAGCACAGCATGGGTTGTATCTCACTGTAAAGAATACAAAATTCCTCACCACTGGACCAGTAAACAACATCAAGATAAAAGGAGAAAAGATTGAAGTTGTAAAAGACTTCATTTTTCTTGGATCAACCATCAACTCTTGGAAGCAGCAGTCAAGAAATCAAATGATGTAATGCATTCGACAAATCTGCTGCACAAGACCTCTTTAAAGTGTTGAAGAACAAAGATGTCAGTTTGAGGACTAAGGTGAACCTGCCCCAAGCCATAGAATTTTCCGTAACCTCCTATGCTTGCAAAAGTTGGACAGTGAATAAGGAAGACCCTAGACAAATTGATGCATTTGAATTATTGTACTTGAAGAAAATATTAAAAGTACCATGGACTTCCAAAAGAACAAACAAATCTGTGTTGGAAGAAGTACTGCCAGAGTGTTCCTTGGAAGCCAGGATGGTCAAACTTGGTCTGTCATACTTCAGACATATTATCAGGAGAGACCAGTCTCTGGAGAAAGACATCATGTTTGGTAGAGTGGAGGGTCGGAGAAAAAGAGCAAGACCCCCCAAGGAGATGGACTGGCACAGTGGCAGCAGCAAAGGACTCACACATAGCAACAATTGTGAGATTGGCCCAGGACTGGGCACTTTTTTGCTCGGTTGGGTGTAGGGTCACTATAAGTCGATACTGACTCAATGCACCTAAGAATTCTGTGCCACTAAGTCCAGGAGACTTTTATTTTTCCATTGTAATTTTACCACTGCCTCTTTCCTCACTGAATCCAACATGATGACCATGTCCATTTTTTGCCTCCTCCTCCCTGTCTAGTTGCCCCATCTCAGCTCCCTAAGCTTGATCTCCTCCGTAAACCCTGACCCAGCCATTGGACCACCTTTCCTTCTGGCCTTCCTTCCTGCCAGGCCAACACTTCTTATGTGTGAATAACATCGTCATTCTCTGAACCCCAAACGCAAAGGCACCTCCATCTCAAAATGCCCAGAGGATCCTCCCATCTCCATACCACCTCCACCATATTTCCCCTTCTCAGAATGCTGCCACCACCACACTCCCAGCTATGTAGACAGAAATGTTACCCGTCCTCCTTCACCCCCCAGGTCTAACCCACCCCCAAGTCCCATCAGTTTGCCCATCTGACATATCTTCAGTGTGTCCACTTTCTCCAGTTCTTACCACCATCAGCCACTTCCTTGGCCAGTCCATGTGAATCCACGACCCCCAGAAGATGTTCATGCTGTGCTGAGATGGTCCCGTTGAATCGTGAATCCGACCACAGTTTCCACTTCTGTCCAAACTGCTTGGGGCCTTCCACTGGTCTCCACGGAAGCTGTGTCCTTGAGCTGGTCAGCAGGGCCTGCCTAGTTGCCAAGCGATGTTTCACCAGCCATGCCAGCTGCCCTACACTTCCTACAGTGGCGTGTTTTTTTGGAGCTCGGTGACTCCATACAATAAGCACTGGACTGCGAGCCACAAGGTTTGCGGTTTGAGCCCACCAGCCACTCCATAGGAGAAAGACGAGGCCTTCTGCTCCTGTGAAACTGAAAGGCTTCGCTATGAGTCTGAACCGAATTGATGACATTTAACAACAATAAGTGCCGTACTTCCTCCTGCACCTGCTGGGCCACACCTGAAATACTTTCTCTGTTCTCGTCCCTTCCTTCACTTGCCACTCAGTGGTCATTTTCTCAGGGAGCTCTGCCTGGTTTTCCATTATGTTCCCTTCTAGCACCGTGTACCTTTCATTTATAACACTTGGACCTTTTCGTTCGTAGCTGTGATTGGTCCGTTCTTTCCCATTATAAATGCCTTCGGAACAGATACCGTGCCAGACTTTGCCCATGGACACAGCGGCACGTAGTTGTTGCTGTATAGTTGAACAGCCACAACAAAACACCCCACATCCTCTTCACAGTCATTCCAATGCCCGAGTCCGCCGGTGCTGCCATTCTGTATTCTGAGTGTCTCCTAACCTAGGGGGCTCACCTTCCAGCATTCAATCAGACAAAATTCTTATCCACTGAGTTTTCTTCAGCTGATTTCCAGAAGGAGATTGTCGGGTTTTCCTTCCTCATCACTCGTAGTCTGGAAGCACCATTTAAACCTACAAACCAAGGGTGACCCGGCTGGTATCTGAAATTAGCCACTTGTTTTATCAACAAAATCTCCCTGTACGTATACAGAATAATTGCTCAAAATAAACCCTATATTTTCATTCCTTTGTATTTTTATTATTTTTAAAAGGAATATGCCGATATACGATAGAATGAACATAAAACTAATGTTCTCCCATGTAAACTATCATAAAATACAAAATAAAACATTTTTAAAAAACAAGGATTCTGTGTCCTCTCCTTGGATGCTTGCTTGCCCCCATGGAGCTACTTGGATAATGCCTTTGGAAGCCCTCCCAGGAATCATCAAGTTGAACCACTACATCCACCAGTACCTAGAAGCCACTGCAGCCTCCGAGTCTCCTGGGCCCTCTCCGACAGCCCAGAGCCCTCATCCAGCCCCATCCCTGTCAGCTGGGTCTAGAGGAAATCACGTCTCTAGCCACAAAGGGGAGGGGTGAGTGGAAGGGGAAGGCTTCCAGAGACTGTATCCTGCAGTGGAGGGCAGTTCTCCTTCAGAGACAATGTCCAGGGGCTCAATTTGGGAAAGTTGGGTCCCCTCTTCTGCAGTGACCACACGGAACCAGCACTCTGATCCTTGCAGGTATAACTAGGTAGAGCATGCTAATATTATGGGTACAATGATGCTAAAAGACCCCTTAGGGGCTATTGAAGAACCCAGGGATTCTGGTGGGGAGATGAGAAGATGAGACTTCTGACTTCTCCCAATAATGCAAGACCAGACTTCCCTCAACGTGAGGCTCTGGTGTGACTGCGTCATTGGAAGGCAGTTAGGAAGCAGGCCCCCACAGCCTAGGTCCTTCCTGACAGCCACACACCAGGAACTGCTGCAGATGGGGCAGGCCCCAGCCTGAGACAGCAGTGACTTGGTGGCCAGTCAGCTCTGAGGGTGGCAAAGATTGCTATGAGGAGCAACAGATGTGTTCTTCCCTTTTGGTTTCCTTACTCCACATCTTTGCACATTTCATTAGGATATTTGGCTTTGTCTTCTCAAGCTGACCTTTGAAATGTTCTGTTCACATTTTTTCTTTTTTTAAGTTCTTACTGTGAATTGAGTGCTTGTTACATGGGAGGAACATCGATTTTACACATCCTATCGCATTTCTTTTCATTACAACATTTACAATCCCCTCCGTGCATCATCATTCAACAGGATTTGTTTTTGGCGGTGGGGGATGTACACCAAAACACTCAGGAATATATAATCATTTAAACAACCAAAGGGCACATTCTGCAAGTCTGCCTCCTGGCCACCAGCACACAGCCTTTCTCTTTCCATGAATCTAGAGTCCTCAGCTGCTCCCTCTCTCCATGTCATCATCTCTGCCTCCATCTCTGGTGTCGCTGCTTTTCTGGATAGGGTCTCACATTCCGCTTATGCTCTGTCCTAGGGTCCTCTGTTCCTGGACTGTAAGATTAACTATTGATAGTCCTAGGGTCCTCTGTTCCTGGACTGTAAG